CGTGGTCCGGGCTGGTGGACCTGAACCTCCACCACATCACTGTCAGTAGGTTCCTTGGCGCCTGGCTGCTCCCCTCCAGCGTCACCGGCTCCGCTGACCTCGACGCCCTGCTACACCAAATTCGGCATCCCTGCCGACTTCTCCCCTGTCGTCGGCTCCCCTGCCGACTGCCCGGTCGCCTACGACTCCTCGATCGGCTTCATTGTTGGCTGTTCCCCTGTTTGCAGCTTCCCTGTTGGCGGCTTCCATGCCGTCGCCTCGTTAACCGACTCCACCAAAGTCGGCTGCACCTCCTCTGCCTGCTACTCCCTGATCGGCGTCGACGTCATGTTGGCCACCGGCGATGCCCTTGGTCGGCGCCACAGGCGACGCCCCACTGCTCCCCTCATCGTCGCTGGTCGACGGTACTATCGGCACATGCAGGTCGGCTACAAGGGGTGGGACAGGAGGGGCAGGGGAAGGAGGGCGGACGTCCTCATCAGCGAGCTCACCGACCTCGGTGAGCAATGGGAGTGTTGACGTCGAGGTGTCAGTCGGCGGGTTGACCTGTGTCCACCCCGACTCCGGCCCATGCGCCGACTTCCACACCTCCAGCGACATCGTCTCGTAGAACACCACGTCCGACGTGGTGATCACTCTGTTGTTGGTGAGGTCGAGAAGCTCCCAGCCCTTGCTCGCCTCCGACACGCCGAGGTGAAGGCCCCACCTGGCTGCAGCTTCCCACCGCGCTGTTGCTCGGGGACCAGGAACTGCACCATGCAGCCCCACACACGTGCCAGCGACAAGTCGGGCTTCTTCCCGGTAAGCAGCTGGTGCGGCGTCGTCCCCGGCGACAGAGTCGACCTCTCAAGGCAGTTGCGCACCCAGACGGCCTGCCGCAGGGCGAGGTGCCACCAGTGGTGCTGCACGCCCATGTGCAGCAGCATCGTCCTCACCGACTCAACCACTGTTCGCATCTCTCGTTCCGCCATGCCTTTCTGTTGTGTTGTGTAGGGGCAGGTCAACTCATGGATGATTCCCTTGCCGTCCACAAATTCGGTGAACTGCTTCCCAAGGAACTCCCCTCCCCAGTCACAGCAGCATCAGCACCGACTTCTTCGTCTGCCGCTCAGCCACCACCAGCCACATTTGGAACTCCCGTAGCACGTCCGACTTCTTGGCGACCGTCCGTACCCTCATATAGCGGGTCTTGCGGTCCTTCAGCAGCAAGAAGTACAGGCTGCCGTCCTTGGGGGCCACCCGAAATGGCCCGCACTAATCGATGTGCACGATGGCCAAGGCTTCGTCGGCGGCCGAGCCCATCTCGGGGAAGGTGTGCTGCGCCAGCTTCCCGCCGACGCACGAGACACACGGAGGGTCGGGGCCGGTCGACGACTTGATGTCCAGGCCGGTGGCGACCTGGTGCTTTGCCGAGCTCATGATGGTGTCGATGCACACGTGCGCAAGCCTCGCGTGCCACTGGTCAGGCGTCAACTTTGTCGCCGTGACAATCGCGCGCAGAGCCACCACCGTAGTCGTCGCCGGCGCCGACTTCATCAAGCTCGTCGAGCACGGACAAAGGTTGGTGTAGAGGATATGGTCGGTGAACTTCGCCCGACCGAGCACGTCCCCCGCTGCCGAGACGAGCAGCATCCCATCGTCATCATCCTGCAACTTCATGCCACCCTCCTACAGCTTGCCAGCCGACAACAGATTCGCCTGAACGCCCGGACGTAGAGCACATCGGGAAGGATCACCTGCTTCCCGGCTTCTCCTTGTAGGGAGACGGTGCCTCGACCCTGGACATCCTGCAGCGCCCCATTGAAGCCGCGCACGTGTTTCACGTTGCTGCTCGGCTGCAAGTCGACGAAGGCTGCCTTCGTCCCCATCAGGTGGTGCGAGCAGCCGCTGTCGAGCAGGACCACTGCCGGGTTTGCCTTCACGGCTGCTGCCACCGCCTGGAAGTCCTCGCCGGCCTCCGGCACCAGCGAGACGGTCGGCTTCACTACGCCGACCAGCGAGCATGACGCCTCCCCGTCGCCTCGCTCCTTGCCGCCAAAGGAGGAGTCGGCGCCCTTTGCCGAGGTCGACTTGGTCAACTGCTTCTCCTTGCGCAGCTTGCTCTCTCGACGAGGGCGACACCCGGCCGACCGCCCTCGGCCTCCCTTGGTGTCATCGTCGTCTGAGTCACTACGGTCGAGGCACTCGAAAGAGAGGTGGTCGGGGTCACCGCACAGCCAGCATTCCCGGCGTCGCCCTCCTCCTCCACGACCGTTGTCCTTAGTCGACTTTCCCTTGTCGGCGTCCTTGGTCGGCTTTCCAGTTCCGTTGCCACCGCCGATAGGCTTGCTGCGCTGCCTGGGTCGACCTCTCTATTTCGTCAGGGCGGCGTAGTTCGCCTGCAGTAGGAGCTCTGTGGACCGCTCAACCTCCTGCATCGCCTCGTCCCTGAGGATGAACGAGGTCAGCGAGTCCTCATTGAGCGACTCCCGCGTGCCCGGCACCACCATTATCCGTTTCATCAGGTTGTAGCCGCTCGCGAGCCCCTTGATGACGTGCGTGATTTACGACACCGTCGAATTCTCAACGCCGGCCATCCGCATGCAGGCCAGGAGACGCCGAGCTCATTTGCAGTAGACAGTCGCCGTCTCCTGCTCGCCCATCCGCAGGTGCGACAGCTGCTCCTCGAGCTGGCCGACGTAGAGGCCGTCGGTGACCTGATACGTCGATGTGATGAACTGTCACGCCCGGTGGCCGGCGTCCAGGTGACGCCGGCACGACTTCAAGGCGATCTGCACCACCGGCGAGCAGCACCGTGAGATCACCATGAAGGTCAGCAGCTGCACGGCGCGAAACTCCGCACGCAACTCGGCGTTGCTCGCAGACGGCATCTTCACGGTGTCGTCGGCGAAGCACATCAGCCCGGCCATCTCCAGCTGGGGCTTGATGGATTCCTTCCACATGAGCAGGTCGTGCCGACCGAATAGCGACGCCGTGATGGAGACCTTGTCTGGCAAGAACTTGAAGTAGCCGTAGGTCGGTGCGATCCCTTCTGCAGTCACGTGTGTCGCCGGCGCCGGCGTCACCCTGCCTCGATGCCCACCGACGTGGCCTTGTGAGGAGCTCGCAGCTGCCGACGTCTGCAGCCCTCATGCCTGAACACCTCCGACTTCACCATCGGCCTTCTGAAACTCTGCTTCCTACACGTCGCGGATGCCGGCATCGACGACCGCTAAGGAGAGCTTCTCCCCGTACTCGCCAGCCAAGTGACATCTCCTAGCATCCTCCAGTCACGCCTCCAAGGTGTCTACCACCCCTGCGTCACCGATGCCCACCATGGTGACTAACGCACAGCTGCCGGCCTACGAACACGATAGGTAGTGCACAACTAAGTCGGCTAGACCGAAGGTAAGTCGCGGTGCCTTCCACACTCACCGCGCCAT